AATTGTTAACCCAAAGGAAATACAGCATCCAGTATCCAATATAAATGTGATGGGAGAATAATCTTATGCCTTGACTTATTTCTAAGAGAACTATCTGGTGTTTTATCATACGTAGGTAGTTCTTGCTATGGGTGATGGGTTTTGCCTTGGTTTTAGTGAAATGCCTAAGTCCTTTGATATGAGTTCATGCTAAGGTAGAGCTTCTTATGATTGATGAGGGTTGCCTTGCTTATAGGGAGATATCCAAGTTCTTTGACATGATTTCATACATAGGTAGAACATCCAGTGAGTAACGTATTTATAGGGAATATCTGGAACTCATTGATGATACTGAACATTGAAGAAAGCTGAAATCCACGCAACAGTATCATTTTGCCCTTCTCTTTCAGACCTTTTTTGTATGTGTATTTATCTTGTGATAGTTCAAGCATTTTAATCCACATTTGTGTATTTTACAGAGGTGAAGCAGGAGTTAGATGATATGATGACTGATATCAAGAAGACAGCGAACAGAGTCAGAGCCAAGCTTAAAGGTAAGTTAAATAAACTCAGGATGTGCAGAATGAGTGCAGTTAGGACACGGTACAAGAGAATGATTTATGAATAATGTAGGAATGTGAAAGATTCCACATAATAAGATAGACTGAATTAGATGTCTGAACACACAATCAATACAGTACGAGCTCATGTAAGTTCAGTCAGAGCAGGTCATGGAACAAGTTACATAGGACAAGGAAACAAAAATTATGACAGAATAGAATGAGATGATGGTGACTATAATGTAATCAAAACAATGAAGTTGATGATGTAGTAAGATTTGAGTAGAAGGACTATTCCTTCAGTGGTTAGAGATCCTATATAACACACAGATTTTGCCTCCAGATGTGTAAATATGATGCTTCATATTAGATATATGAAATTTCTCATTTGGCTTTTATTTTCAGTGATTGAGCAAAACATTGAATCAGAAGAACACATTAGTAAGGCGAGTGCAGATCTAAGGATAAAGAAAACCCAACATTCAACACTGAGTCGTAAATTTGTAGAGGTGATGACAGAATATAACCGGACACAGACGGACTACCGTGAACGATGCAAGGGCAGGATACAAAGGCAGCTGGAAATCAGTAAGTGATATTGTTCTTGAATCGGTAAGAGTGAGGATGACAGGTATAAGGCTTAGAGAAAAGTCATTCTTCTTATTCAGTCGAATGAATTAAACTTGAATATGACCTATAGCAATATTCTTTCAATATTTCACGAATGAGTGATGTGAGAAGAATTGCTTAGATGGCTTTTTATCATCCTGATTTTACAAAATTGTTGTTATAGTAGATATGTGCCCCATGCATGTATGCCTCCTTGTCATATAATACAAGCCACCATCTGTGAACAGAGTTGCTTCCTAGTACATATTTCCATCATTTTGGTGTCTTAACATAACTAACATAATGTACACCTCTCTTTCCTGCAACCTCCACTTCTTCCGATGCTGATGACACTTGCAGCTGGCCGTAACACAACTAGCGAGGAGTTGGAAGACATGTTAGAGCAAGGGAATCCAGCTGTCTTCACACAAGGGGTAAAGATATCCTTTCTTTCCACAGATCATTCATTGAACTTGGAGTGGTTACAGGCCTTTGGAGAGAGTGGAAAATAGGATCTTTTGACAGTGTATTCAGATTGCTTGGTCAGAATTTTGATATTTGATGAAGGACGACCATGTCATTGTGAACTAATGATATTAATAAGTATAGCAAAGGATCCCTGACAATTTGCTCTGAGTATGTCAGTAGTAGCCATGTGTTCAGGATTACTGTTAAGAGAAAGTCATTCTTATGTTTAGATTGATATTCATATTTTGTTTTCATATATTAGATTGTTTTGTTTACATTTCAATAGATATTTTTATTAATCTTGAACTAGATACTCATACTCATAACTCTTCCCAGTTATTTTTTTCCATTAATCATCAAAGGTAAATGAACGTTTCTATATTATGCTTAATGAAGACTAACAACTGAAATGAACATGCATAGTAAATGAATCAGCAGTAGTAAAAGATGTGGTTCAACTTCTGTTAGGTATGTTTGTAGCACCCATGGATTACTTAGACAGATGTAGATGTGAAGAACAAGACTAAATAATGGAAATCATCTGATGCATGCAAGTAGACCGCAAGTAGTTAAGTATAGTTCAAGTATAGTGGATTGGATTGGCGGGATTCATTTGCATTTATTTACTTTTTTCGTATATTTTTTCGCCCCATTTAGCAGCAATATTGGAAGAAACAGCAGGCAATACCAACCCTAGAGATATTGAAGCTAGTCTTGGGAGGACATTTAATATTTGGTTATCACATCTGTGAATATGCTTGTCTTGTTATTGGGAAACTTCGGCCTTGGTTAGTAGAGAGTAAGGTCGAGGCTCATAAACTGGGCCTATTTGCTGTAACGAACGGTACAAAATGTAAGTGTGTGATGTGTAAGTCCATTGAGAGGTGAGAGTGTTTTAAGAGGCAGTGGGTATATTGAGATCGGTGGCGGATGTTCATATTTCTTTATTTTTGTTTTTTTGTCTGGAATTGTGAGGTTAACCCTGGTAGTTGCATTCGAGTGGGGTTTGGGGTGATCCTTAGGTACTTAAGGAGGGTGTCAGGGTGGGGTTGGTTGGGTGTGGGGACATGGATGGGCGTGTTGTTTGTGGGGAATAATGGGTGGGGGGGGTTGAATGGGGTTTGTGTGTGGGGTGTGGTAAATGGTATTTGGGTAATATGGGGTAGGGCGAAGGGGGGGGAGACGAGGGGGTGAGTTTGGATACGTGTGGTACGGGTAGGATGGGGAGGGTGGGGTGGGGGTGGGGGGGGTAGGGGGGTTGAGGGTCGGGTTTTGGATGATGTGTGTGATTGTTGGTGAGCTGGGCATGCATTATGGGGGCTGATTTGTGGGGGCAGGGTTATAATAGTGTGAGGTAGGTGTGAAGGGGGAAATAGAGATTGGGAAAGAATGGATGGCGAGGGTGGGTGAGTGTGTGTGTAGTGTGTGTGTGTGTGAGTTTGTGTGTGTGTGTGTGTGTGTGTTGTTGTGTGAGTGTGTGTGTGTGTATGTGTGTTGTTGGAGTGTGTGTTTGTGTGTATGTGGTGTGTATGTGTTGTATGTGTGTATGTGTGTATGTGTGTAAGTTGTGTATCGTGTGGTTGTGTGTATGTCGTGTGTGTATGTGTGGTGTCAGGGTATGTATGTGTGGATGTGTGTGTGGATGTGTGTGTGTGTATGAGTGTGTGTCATTATGGTGTGTGTGTGTGTCTGTGTGTAGGTGTTTGGTGTGTGTGTGTGTGTGCTGTGTGTGTGGGTATGTGTGTATTGTGTATGTAGTGTATGTGTATGTGTGTGTGTATGAGTTGTGTAGTGTCACGTGTATGTGTGTCGTGTTATGTGTATGTTGGTGTGTATGTGTGTGTGTATGTGTGTGTGTATGTGTGGGTATATGTGTGTGTATATGTTGAGGGTATGTGGTGTGTAATGTAGGTTAGTGTATTGTGGTGTGTGTGTATGGTGTGTTGTGGTATGTGTGTGTGTGGTTGTGGTGTGTGTATGTGTGTGTATGGTGTGTGTGTATGTGAGCGAGTGTATGGGGTGGTATGTGTGTGTAGTGTGTATGTGTGTGTGTGTATGTGTGTGTGTATGTGTGTCGTAAGTGGTGTGTATGTGATGTGGGTATGTGTGTGTGTACGTGTGTGTGTAGGTAGTTGTGTGGTTATGTGTCCTGTGGTATGTGTGTAGTGTAGGTGTGTGTTATGTGTGTGTGTATGTGTGTGTGTATGTGGTGTGTATTTCGTGTTGTGTATGTTGGTGTGTGTGTGTGTGTGTGGTGTGTGGCAGTGAGTGTGTTTGTGTGTGTTTGTGTGTGTGTATATAGTGGGTGTGTATATTGTGGTGTGTCGTATCGGGTGTGTCGTGTGTGAGTGTGTGTGTTCGGTGGGTTTGTGTGTGTGTTGTTGTGTGTGATGTGTGTGTTTGAGTGTGTGTGTGTCGTGATGTGTGTCGTGTATGTGTTTTGTGTATCGTGAAGTGTGTGTGGTGGTGTGGTGTGTGTGTGTGTGTGTGTGTGTGTGTTGTGTGTCGTGTGTTTGTGTAATGTGTGTGTTGGTGTGTTGTGAAAGTATGTGTTTTGTGCTGTGTCGTGGTGTGTGTGTGTTGGGTGTGTGATCGTGTGTGGTCGTGTATGTGTGTTGGTATGTGTGTGAGGGTGTATGTTGGCCTTTGGGTGTATGTGTGGGTGTATGTGTGTGTTGTGTATGTGTGGTGTGTATGTGTGGGTGTATGTTGTGTGTGTATGTGTGGGGTGTAAGTGTGGGTGTATGTGTGGGTTTATGAGTGGGTGAGTAGTGTGCTGTGTGTGTGTCGTGTCGTTGATGTAGTTGTGGTGTGTGTGTATGTTGTGTGTGTATGTATGTGTGTGTTATGTGTGTGTGGTGTATGGTGTGTGTTATACGTGTGATGTATGTGTGTGTATGTGTGTGTATGTGTGTATGTGTCGTATCGTCGTGTATGTGTGTATGTGTGTAAGGGGGTGATGTGTCTTGTGTAGTGTATGGGTGTATGTGTGTATGTGTGTATGTTGTGTCATGTAGAGTTGTAGTGTTGTGTGTATGTGTGTGGTGTTGTGAGTGGGTGTGTGTGTGTGTGTGTATTTGTGTCGGTGGTGTGTGTGTATGAGTGGGTGTGTGCTAGTGTGTGTATGTGTGTGGTGTGTATGCGTGTGTGTGTGTTTGTGTGTGTTGAGGTGTGCGTGGTGTGTGTGTGAGTAGTGTATGTGTGTAGTATGTGTGTGTGTATGTATTTGTGTGTGTGTGGTGTGTGTGTGCTGTGTGTGTGTGTGTTGTGTGTGTGTGTCGTGTGTGTGGTGTTTGTGGTGTGGTGTGGTGGTGTGTGGGGTGGTGTGTGTGTGGTCGTGGTGAGGGGTGGTGCGTGAGGAGTGTTGTGTGTGTGGGGTGTGTG